AGCGGTGCTTCATATTTGTTTCATTCAGTGCAACAGTTAATTATATTGGAATATTTCAAATTATCACCATATCATCATCGTTAGCTTTTTCAGACTTAGTACTAGCGCCAGCTGGCGTGCATTAATGAGGGCTAATAATTTTCTGTTCACCAGATGTCGCTAGTAGACACTGAGTTGCATAATGTAATTTAATAAAAGTTTATCAGTTTCTATAGTATTATATAAATACACAAAACAATGCGTCAGTGGTTTGCTCTTTAATTTTTTACTTTTTCTACTTTCATGAATATCTGTGGTTTAGTATATTTATTTTTAATCTTATTAATATAAAATATAGCTAATATTACAGAATGAGACAATAATCTTTACATTTTCCGAACAAATTAACTTCCCCGCCATCTGAAATGTGAAATCTATCAAATATTATATCTCACTTTCTAGTGGCGCCGCCCTGGTGGCAAAAAAAGTCGTGGATGCCCTCATTGAAAGATGTCCCTTACTAGGTACTTGGACTGTCGAGTTGGTGAGTGCATAACGATACCATCGAACTTGTAATGTTAAAAAATTATCAGTCTAATAAAGTAAATAGAGTCTCTTCTATAGTTGTCTTCTCAATCGTCACAAATTACACCCATACCAAAAGGTTCGTCTTACCTTCGTCGGCTTGGCTATTTTAAAGCTAACGTGTAAGATGATCACAAAATGTTATGACGACACACACACACACAGGGAACGATGTTTGATAAGGGACGAGCAAAGCTAGTGCGCTTCACCATCAAGCGCCACAGTAACATACCATCATAATATTATGTACTCAGTCGTATAATAAGTAATATCCGCCGCATCTATGTCTGTCTCTCTCTATGTCAATATTTTTTTTCTTTAAATTTGTAAGTATCATGGGACAAGCGCAACGTAGCGCTGTGGACATGCTGAGAAAAAACTACTTATTTTAACCAGCTTGGTTAACTGACTTCCCCCGAGATGTGCGGACATCGTTCGAATATCAAATACCCCCATTGTCTCATGGGTAACCTAAGAGGCATCAGAGGAGTGGGAAGCTGCAACAATGGCAAATATCCCTCTTATGAGAGCTATGGTTTTTTGTATGCTATAATGAATTAATGAATGAAAATGCGTAAGTGTCCCAAAATATCATACGTACAACAATAAACGTTATTACGCACTTCATAATAATGTTACGAAATAAGTAGGTAAGTGGGTTTGTACCAAGCAGTTGATAAATTATCATATAACGACCACCTAAATCATTTGGTCCATGACAGATCTCTCAATTGTGACCAGTCATCCATAAAAAGATCACGCGCAACATAATCGTTATATAATTTTAAATCAATTGAAATAAGATAAATTTGTTCCAACTTTCATTTCAAGGCTCAAAGAAGGAATTACGTGAAATTAATTATTTAAAAAAGTGTGTTTTGTCGTGGAGTCGTTGATTTTATTTTGGAATTCCATTTCGTTTGATCCTCATAATCTATTCTTTTTTTAGGTTTTATCAGATTTCGTTATAGGTACCTACCTACCTACCAATTTTGTGTTTTGTATTAGATACAATTATTACACTGTAGCTATACAAAATAATTATTTTCTTCTTAAATTTTACATGCATAAAATTTTTTTTCTTAATAATTACTAAATGTATGTTAAATTGATAATAAACTATAAGACCTTATACAAAAATATATAATAGTGGTAAACATTTTCTTATGTGAATATCACAAGAAAATATCAATAGAAATCTATTATATTATGTGCTTTAAGTGTTCAAGGTATTATTCAAAGCTATCATTTCTATAAGTTTTTAGAATTAGTATTTACTGTGTGTTATTTTGTGTTGTGTCTGCAAAACATTAGACTAATATATATTATTGATAAAATTTTATACGTTCTAACGCCATCTATTACAATAATAATGAAACAAATATGTATGGAAAGTGTTTACATATTTCAAGACTAATATCAACTGTCAGGATGGCCGAGCGGTCTAAGGCGCCAGACTCAAGGTTAACCTTATCTGTATGTATATACAGGTTGTACATGTGTGTTCTGGTCCTCTCTGAGGGCGTGGGTTCGAATCCCACTTCTGACAAAATTTTTTAAGTGCAGCAATATTTTTATGTACATAATATGAAATGTTTTTTATATTTTGTAATTTTTTGTATGATTTGTAATTTTTCATGGTACATGATAAATTATACAAAATTATAATTTATATATATTTTATATATATCGTACTATACCTATGATTGTGAATTTATGTATGGGCATATTGGCAATTTGTTTATAGAATAAATAATTTGTGAGTATAGTTACGTAATTTCATGATTGTATTCGCAATCCTCGGTAGTATAGTGGTAAGTATCCCCGCCTGTCACGCGGGAGACCGGGGTTCGATTCCCCGCCGGGGAGAAAACTTTTTGACTATATATTATTTACACATAAATTTTATTTATAAATGTATAAGAAAATTAATATTTTAATTATTATAGTGGCACTTCACATGGCCACCTGAACCAGTGATAAAGTAAACAATGACTTTAAATAAGAATTACACATGTGATCTATATTGAATAAAAAATTATTCTATTCTATAAACATAAGCGACTCCTTTTTGACTTGCAGGGTACATGGTACCCCCAAATTTTTGGTACTTTAATGGTATTTCACGCGTCGTTTTCTCGTTGCCGGTTTTTATGCCCCTCGTTTCCGGGGTCCCAAATGCATGGGTTCATTTGGTAAATTTCTAGAAACCTTACAACGGTTTCTTTGTTCCAATTCATTTTCCGTAGGTACCTAAATAATCACTTATTTAAGAGGTTGTAAACAGGTCCGTCCGTTCTGGTTGACAGTTCGCGCGCTTATGACCCCGACCATGTGTGGCCAGTATATTTGCGTATTTGCCTATTTGTCTCCTTTGATGAGCCTTGAAAAAGCGACAGACGATCGGTAAGCCGTATTTGTTATTGCCTATATTTGGCAAATAGGCAAATACCCCAAACCCAAGTTATTTGTCAAGTACCCCAAATACCCAAATACAAATAGCCATGTGAAGTGCCACCATTATACATAATACAAATATTTAAAAAAAAAATATTTATAAAAGACAATGTGTAGAAATGTTTTTCTTTTGCACACATCGAACGTGAAGCGGAGATGTAAGTAGGTACATGCTCTATTGTCACCAAATCAAACAATCGCGATCCACTCAATTTAAATCACTTCTACCAGCTTCATATTCATCATCATCATCATCATTACAGCCCATCACAAATCCACTGCTGAACATATGCCTCCTCCAAGGAATGCCACAAAGCACGGTCCTGAGCCACCTGCATCCATCGACTTCCTGCATGTCTTACCAAGTCGTCACTCCATCTAGTGGCGGGTCGCCCTACACTTTGCCTACCGCTACGAGGCTGCCACTCAAGAACATATTTTCCATATCGGTTGTCGGTTTTTCGTACTATATGGTCGGTCCATTGCCACTTCAGCTTACTAATCCGTTGGGCTACTTCGGTCACTCTGGTTCTAGAACCAGCTTCATATTGCACTTGTATAATAAAAAGTACACCAATAGCAAGAGAAGAGTTCATTTAATACTTCTGACGTAGTTATTTATTTATTTCGATAATTATTAAAAAAAGTTTCACTTGGACGTCATTGAAAATAATTTCACTTGGACGTTATCAGTTAGTCAATATGGATATGAACAAGATATCTTTCAAAATACTGAACCTATATCACTTTGATTTTTCTTTATTCGCTTTAGATTTCAATCCTTAGGAAGCCTTTTGAATTTCACTGTTGTTAACCGTCCCGTTACTTAATATTTTTTTTTTATTTTATCAATTATTTAACAATTTTTTCGGCAACAGAATACGAATCATCGGTATCAATCAAGCAGTCAAATAAAATTTCGTGTTAATTAAACAGAAACAATTTTTATGCGTGTTTCGGTAATTTATAAAAGTAAATTAATTGTTCAAAACATTACATGAGTGTTCGAGGTGTGCACTTTTGGATTTTCCAAATTTTATTATTGTATTATCTGTGACACATTTATAGACATAACATTAAAATTTACAATAATAAAATATAATACGTACATAAAGGATTGAAAAGGAACTAAAATTTACAATAAGAACCTCAACTCTAAGACTATACTATATTCATTACGTTTTCCGATGTTTTATCTCATTTTTTTGTTAACACGACATAATATTATTAATTATTCTCAAGTTCCGTGACGCATTATAATTATTATTAGCATCGTTATTGATATAATCTACACACCCGAGTATCACAGGGATTGTAATACCTACCGACTTTGAATTTTTGTCACTGATTCGCAGCCAACAGGCCAGGAAACGTTTTCAGGCACTACAAAAACGCCATTACAAAGTTACGTCGTCAGTTCAATCGCGACGTGTCAGGAACGCATTCTCTGAACGGCCGAACTATAGTAGGTGTCCTTAACAAGGGAGTGTCGCTGCGTCCAACACAGTCCAACAATTTTGTTATTGACTTGAAGTTTTCAATGAACGTATCCACGATTTTGTCTGCCACCAGGGCGGCGCCACTTACGAATGAGGTGAAACAGTTGACAGGTTTCATTGCGTGAGAAGTTAACTTGTCAGGGAATTGCAGAGATTAATATTTCTGAAAGATTTCATTATGTATTGACTAGATAAGAAATGGATAAACCAAACTACGTATAATCCTTAAAAGTAGAAGAAATAAAAAATGTGGAATAAAAATAAAAGAATACAGCACTGAGGCATTATTTTACATACACTAGAAACCGAAAACTTATACAAAATCAGAACTTTTCAATGATCATGTCACCGTGTAACCATCTGCGTAACAATAACAAATGAGTTCATCTTAGTCCCAACTAGCGACATCTAGTGAGCGTAAAATTGTTAGCCCTCATTTGAATGTTTTTTTTTTCTTGGCAGGCGGGTAGCGTCGGTGTGATGGTGCGTGAGGCCACAGTGCTGCTGCTGGCGGTAGCACTGTGCCGCGCAGCCACCACACTCGACTCCGAACTTGGTGTCGGAAAGGCGATCAACATCTTCATGAGGTAACAATAATTTTTTTCTCATCATTCATAATTTATTTGGTTAGCGCTAAACGTCTCCTAAAGATTCGTATAACTGACGGATCGATACACAAAAACAAAATACTGTTAACATATATATCGATGGTTAACTGAATACTAAAATATACAAAATGTGACTTCTGCCAAGTTTAAACAAAATTTTGTATAAAAATATTAAGAAATTTATGGATGATAATAACCCCTGGGAATGAGGTGAAGGCTATCATGCTATTTCTAATTTGTTTTGTGTTGTTAATTATTGTGCAACTCTGAATTTAAACTTATTTTTAGTTAGACACGCTGGGTTTCTCGCCGGTTCTTCCCCGGACAGCGGTATTTTCCGTATACTCAAATGACTGTGACTGTGACAGTTCAATAAGTATTATTTATAATCTATATTGAATAAAAAAGTTTCTATTTCTAGTGGTATATAATAAAACCTCTTTTAACTGATCACAAAGATCTTGAAGCCGTCATTCCTTGTGAAAAATTACAACGTTTAGGCAAACGCGTTAGGGAAACGGGAAACATATAGGAACCTACTGAACAAGGCAATAGCATCAAAGCATCCGAAGGTCGTGCTGCATATAATATGATGGAAGCGGATGCCTATGTCTAATATTTACTATGTGGTAACACTCCTTTTCTGCACAAGGATACGTCTGGGTAGGTACCATTTTACGTGGTAGAGCCATGCTGCAGCTATATTAGTAATATAGTTGTAGCACGAATGGGTCGGCTCGACCGGGGCAGGACCACGCTCTCACAGAATACCAGCGTAAAATAGCAGCTTAACGCTGCTGTATTTCATGAGTGATGGTGAGTGTAGAGAACCGGAGACCCTTTTTACTGGAAACGAGGCATTCCATCTTAGTACTCACGGGTGACGACGCATCTGCATTTTGGTTTGTAATGGAGAATAGATGTAGATGTCTATGGGCCGCAGCAACCACTTACCATCAGGTGGACTGGTTTTTTTTTAATATAAGATAGGGTGACAAACGAGCACACAGTCCACCCTGTTTGCCCGTTTGTCACCCTCTTATAAAATAAAAATAAAAAAAACCCTTTTAACCTGTTTCTGTCGCCAAATGGCAGTAGCCTGCACTGTTGTGTTCTGGTTTGAAGTGTATAATTACAGTTTGTATGGCATTCCATCTTAGTCCTCAGCGGTGACAACGTATCTGTAGTCTTCCTTGTTTGAAATTGACATCAGGGGTCCATGGATGGACTGCAGCTGCCACTCACACACAGACCAGCGACGCGACGGGGATCAACTTCAAAGGCGCGAAATAATTTGTCGATCTGCCTGCCATACGTGATGATTAAGCCTCTTTACAAAATCTACCTTTTTTAATAATAATGGTATACCTTTACTTATACACATCACAATACAAACACTCACGCCTGTCACCCAGAGGGGTAGGCAGAGACTACGGACTTCTATTTGACACGATCCTGACACACCTCTCTCGCCTCCTCACATCCATATATCTATACACGCTCGTCGGTTAAAGGTACTGCTAATCTGGCCCATTTTCAATTTATCGCCGATTTGATCGATAAACCTTCGTCTAGGGCGTCCCTTTCCGACTCTGTCGCTCACTTCTGCAACATAAATCTGCTTTGTCACTCTTTCCTCGTTCATTCTTTCTACATGACCAAACCACCGAAGCATTCCTTTCTTAATAACAACGTCATCTTGCAAACCACACTTTTCATTTATCACACTATTTCTCATCCTGTCATTCAGATTCAGCCCAACCTTTCAGTTCAACCTTTAATTATCTGCATCAAATAAGAATAAAATCAGATATCTAAACTTGCTTCTATTTATTTATACATTTTGGAAATAGGTTTTATTCAGTATATACTTTTTTCAATGCATTTTGATTTTGTTTGTGCAAATGCAAATATAACTTTGTTATTGCTCCGATGCTGGAATAGGCATCGCAATGGCAATCTCTTATTTCTGCAATACTGCTCTACATCTCCCAAAACAAAATGTTTAGGAAAAAATTACGATTCTAATTTCGATACGATTTTGATTTAAATTAAATTTCATCATATTATATATTCTCAGATATGGCTACCTCAGCATATGCATGCGGGTCGTACCGCGGAACGACACTGAGGGCTGGGTGTTCCGGGAGCCTACCGTCAGCGTGTTCCGGGACGTGGAACGCTATGCGGTCGCGCCGAAGCCCCGTCAGCCCAAAACACTCTTCGACGGTGACTTCCATATGGAGTTCTGCGATAACTTGAAGCAGTTGTTGCAAGCATACTTCAGAGACTTCGTTTTTGAGAGGTGAGATAAGAATACAAATATATTTTTTGTGATATATCAAAATAACTTTTACATTGTCTAAAGGGTCGGCTCGGTGTTTGAATATCTGTAGAAGCTTATATTTGTCACAATGGGAGGTAGGGAGGGATAGATGTGAAGTCAGAGGCAATTACAACGCTGGACCCTTGTGTTCGCTAAGCTTAGGGTTCCTGTATAACAAATACTTACCTACGTTCATTCCAGCTGGAATTCGAATTGAAGTACAAAGCCCGTTAGCACTAACAATACGAGTATGCAGTGTGTATTTATTTCATTAATTCTGTATCTTGGTTTTAGCGATCATTGATACAAATGAAAAAAAAACTATTAGAAAATTATTTCCTGAAAATTTTAAAAATAACTGGAAATATTTTTACGTGTCGTTGCTTAAATTTATAAATTATATGTTTCGACTAAAATCAGAACTATGGCATACCTAGGTTTAGCCGAAACTAGGTGCGACCCAATCCCAGTGCGGCCGGTTGAACTTTTCTGGTGTATTTGACTTTTCCAAATAATTTATAAATAATATAAATGTCCACGGTTTTGTCTGCAGCTGCACCTTAACGACACTATAGCGAGAGTATACTTTAATGTTAATACTTCCTTTCCTATTTTTGATAAATGTAACAAAAGTCATACTTATTTTTATTACTATTCGAATTTAACTATACATAGTTTTACCCGAAGGCGACCCGCCACACCTTGTTGAATAAATCGAACACACCACAATCGGCTAGACTTTTATAGCCTTCTAAACCTAGGTGTAAAGAACGCACTGCAGCTTTTAGCCGTGACATAATTATTAACATTGAATTTTAATGTATTTAAAATAAGTTATCTGTATATTTTTCATTTATTGCCCATCAATAGTGAACGTAAGCCTCCACCATATTTTTTTTATTTTTAAAACATTTACTCAGTTATTTTAATATTTAGGTTGGAACGACCATGGCGCGCTTTCACTGCCGGCTGGCCGACTGACATCATGGCGAGGAACTTGGGGATCAATTCTTCATTCATTACCGGTGACCACTGTTATGTCCTCGTGAGAGTGTCCAGGTATTAATAGTTATCATTTTTTTATAGGAGAGGGGGCAAACGAGCATGCGGCTCACCTGGTGGTAAGTGACTATCGCCGCCAATGAACAACTGCAACACCAGGGGAATTGCAGGTGTGTTGCCGGCCTTTCAAAGAGAAGTAAGCTCGTTTCATCAGGGTCCCTAAGTCGTATCGGTCCGGAGTATCATCATATAGAGCTTAAGGGATCATTAAGTAGAGTACAAATATGATTTTTTTACCTTCAAAAATAAAGATATGGGGGCGATAGATATAAGTTGTCAGTTACGCTTTTGTTACAAACCGTCTCAAAAATTAAACTTGTTAGGAATTTAAAATTTCTGTATCATCATCATCACCGTCGTGATTACAGCCCTTCACAAGTCCACTGTTGAACATCGGACTCCTCCAAAGAATTCCACAAAGCATGTGGAATTCCAATTTCTGTATATTATGTAATTAAACCACAAATACTGAAAACATCGATTCATACTGAAGTTTGAAGCTGTGACTGTGACCAAAACAAAAGAAACCTTTTTTTATAGAAAAATAGTTATTCGTCCTAATGTGTGCGGAACCCTAATAAAGCGAGGCCTGAAGCACTTTATACGTGGTAGAGCCATGCTGCAGTTATATTAGTAGCATAGTTGTAGCACCAATGGGTCGGCTCGACCGGGGTAGGACCATGCTATCACAGACTACCAGCGTAAAATAGCAGCTTAACACTGCTATGTTTCGTATGGTGAATGTAGAAAACCGGAGACACTTTTTACTGGAAAAGAGGCACTCCACCTTAGTCCTCATGGGTGACAACGCACCTGCATTATGATTCTTTATTGAGGGTAGATGTAGATGTCTATGGGTCACAGCAACCACTGACCAACATGTGGACTGTGTGCTCGATTGTCACTATATTCTAAAAAAAAACTTGCCCGGTTTTCTACAGACTTTTGTTATAATTTCTTGTACTATTATTTATTCTGTAGTTTTAACATAATGCCTCGAAAGGTTTAAATATATACCTATGGGTTTAAGTTCCGTTTTAAGCATTTCATATCCATATATGTACTCTACTCCATAGTGTAGAGTACAAGGAGGACAATCTGTATATAAGAAAAGTGTCCTTAAAAACGCGTCAAATAAGGGTGGCGCTGCAGTAGCATAGGATAAATTAAAAAAAAAGCGCCAAAAGTAAAAATAAACAAGGACCGACCAATCCGCTTGGTTTTGTACTACGTAAATAGTTGAGATTTTGTATACTGGTATTTTTCTAACTACTCTAGTCATGAAATTTTTTAAATATTTGAATTCAGCTGACTTCACTCCGTTCACAACAGCTATCTTCATATCGTAGTTTTTCAGACGCCAGCGCTATTGTGGTAGGTTTCGGAACCTCTATCTTCAGTAAATGGTAGGACCCTTTTTCAACTTTCGCCCCTTATAAGATGGTTCTCCTTGATTTCATACATTGTTTGTTCAATTTGTAAATGAAATAAAAAAGCGTTGTGTTGATAACATAAGAGAATTAAGAGCTAGAGTCGTCTATGGTACATACATTTACCTGTAAGATCATTCTATTCCCCGATAGATGGCGTTATAACCATATGCATGATATAGAGATTTAAAGGTTTAAATATTTGAATGTCTTTGATACCAGATTTTAACTAAATAAAATGTGTTAGAGAAATACCTCTCCACAAAAATATATTAAGCTAATTAATGTTAATAGTATTAGAATTTAAAAACACTTAAACGACACGCATTCATTATTGATTATGAGCTGTGATGTAATCATATTGAGAATACTAGGGAATCATGAAATTATTGTATATTCAACGGTTTTTATTACGTCTGCAAATTTTAAAATATTCGTTCTTGTGGAAGTGGGTAAAAACTGAATTACAATATTCCAAATACATCTACATACAGTTCAAGATAATATAGCCTTTGATTATTTACATGTAGGTAAGAAGCGTGCAAAAAAATCATTATTTGCAAAGTTATATTGTAGGGTTCCACTGCTGGGCATTTTTGCCCCTCTCGTTTTTGAGAGTCTTAGGGCAAGGAAATGTCCACCGCGCTACCCCAATGTGTGTTGGTATTGTGCAATTTGAATGTTTGTTTATTATATTTTGTAATTGTTGTGTTGTTAATTAAATTGTAATTGTAGTGTAGTGATCTAGTGGTACATCACTATACGCGCCGAGAGGCAGATCTCAGTTCAACACTGTGGTATGACTTTTTTGGAATAAATTAAAAATTTCACAGATCACCGAAACTCAAAGATGTGAGAAAAAATTCTACCTAATTTGTCAGTCTTTGTCCAATTGTTTTAAGAGAATGAAGATGTAATTAAATATATCGGAGAGCTATTTTTTCTATTTATATATATGTAGATCTTACGTTTATTACCTTTATTCCATTGGATGGTAAGCGGTGATGTGGTTAAGATGACCTAATCGCTTTGACTCTTATTGCAGGTTTCGCGAAACGGGCAAATTAAACGATTTACCGCCGAATATATCTGTAGAGGACGTAGTGTACGAAGCCATCCAGGAGTCGACAATTGGCGATACCGTGTCCATTGCTGACTTCATAAGGAAATACGGCTCACACTACATTGCGTCGTACATCACTGGTAACTCATTGTATCAGGTAAGAACGGTATCTATTGTTGTTTAGACATCATCGATTGATTACACCAGATCGTCTATGTAACGCTTATATTAACTTGCGTAGGGTATTTCGGCTTTATGTATTCTTAATCGATAATAAATGTAGCTGATTGTGTTATAATATCCACTACCCCATATCGTCACATGTGTCGTAAGAGGCGACAAAAGGAAACAAATCAGAAAAATAACGGCAGCGCCTTCTTCATAATAACTAAAAAATAAAAAACTGCGGTTGCCTCCCCCATGGCTTATAGCCTATAATTCTGATGACAAAAAAAAACAATTCCGTACATAAATATCTCCGGGGCTAACCCCAGAAGCTGTGTATATCAGAACCAATTTAACTTATCTTGACTAAAACAAATTTAAGTATCTCATGATCAGAAAATGACACAAAAAATATGCAGTCGAATTGTTAATCTCCTCATTTTTTTTTGAGTCGGCTAATTATTGGTATGTTATTGTACACATGTTCAATTCAATGAAATTATGAGCACACAAAATTTAAAAGACAGGTAAACCACTGATTAACGCTATCTACACCTTATACAATAACAAATCGTTTCAATAATATTTTTAATCTAACACGTTTGACTCATAAATGTCGCGAAATGTTTTAGTTCACATAGCGTGTGTCGTCACGTGATAAGCTAGAACTAACGGAAACGTGATATAAGTTTACAGAGGAACGTGTACTGTTTGCTAAACAATCCGATATACTTAATCCATTACATCGATAGTTTCCCTAACTACATGGTAGTCTATAACGGTTTACGGAATTTAATACCCAGGTCACAGCTATAATAATTAAATTCTAATACAAAAATAGTTGAGTATTTTATTGGTCCATTTTGCTCTTGTTTCCTTATGTTTATATTCGAAAATTGTAACTAGATGGCGTTACAATATGAAGAAATGAATAACATTATATTCTTTACTTTTAATAGATATTTAATTTTATTCTATACCTTTATAACAAGTGAATTATAATTAAAACTATATACAATTAGCAATATAGTATTAGTTTCTACGTCTTATACCAAATACAAAAATAAATCATTTATTATTATTATTATTAGTACTAAATTATATTAATACTCTAGGTTTCCGATAGGTGGCGTTTATAACTATAACTAAAATTGTTGTTTTATAACTATACTTTTAAGGAATAGACGTAGATGTCTACAAGACATAGCATCCACTGACCGTCAGGTACTAGAATAAAACCACATTTTACGACTTGACATAAGTAACATTTTTTTTTATTAACCTACTTTGGAATTGATTTTGGCGACCGTTTTTAGATATCGCTCTTCGTCACAGGTCTGATCTTTTCAAAATAGTTGTTCTGGTATTTTTTGAATCCTAAAGGTTCTCTAAGACCTTCACCATGGCTATATTTTTGTATGCTTTAGCTATGCTACGTAGCATTCTTAGTGGAGGCCATGAAAGAAATGTGGCGGTAAATATTATATAGATTAAAAAATAAAAAACGCATCTGATAAAAATATCTCTGACCAGCTTGACCTCTATTTCCAGTTATGTGTATCATCTATGCTCTTTAATTAATATCGTTAAGTATGTCACTGTGTTATTGATATTAAGATCCTTTGAGGACCTGTAACATAAAGGAACAATTGTTACGTTAAAGATAAAATATGAGTGATTTTCTATTTTAAAATATTTTTAATGTGTGCGTTATCATTTTATCAGGTGTTTGTGTTCTCGCGAGGAGTGTACTCGAGGATAAAGGAGCGTGTGAAGTCGCAAGGTGTAAAAGATATACCACCGACCGAGATGAATAACTTCTTCTCCCCGTTCTTTGCCGAACATGTCGGAGCGGTCAAGGTTTGAATCGATCAGTAACATGGCTTGTTTCTATATCGACTTATGTAAAATATTTCTTAATTTCATTTAAGATTCTAAAAACACTACATTGTAATCTAAAAAAAATCAATCAAAACATATTATAGGAACAGGCCATAATCTTTCAAATCACCCAAAAGGCATGCGCTAAGAAATTGGGAATAATTCTTCACCTTGAACTTGGCACTTTCACTTTACATCAAGCATCTATTTCTTTTTTTACTGATTTGTGACTTTGAGCATGTGCATTTTCATTATCAGTAACATTTCTCACGAACATTGGATATGATTGCCAAAATAATTTTGTTGATAGTATTGTTTTACAAATACACTTAAAACTACGGGCATTTAATATTTTGAACAAGGAAGGTTTTCCATAACTTATATTGAATTTTAAAGAAAATTAACGAAAACTTCATTAAATATCAATCAAACAGTTAATAAATTGGCCAATAATGTCGACCTTTTTAGAAATTACTGAGAGCATTTAAGCAGTTACAAAACATTTTGAGTAAAATTTTATACCTTTTAAGTGTTGTTGACGATTTAAATTTTGGCCGCATATTTCTATAATTTTCTAAATATATCTAAGAGTACACTCACGCAAAAAATTATCAATCTAAAATAAATTTGTGAAAATTGTGTCTGCTCTCACCAGGTGTTTGTATTCTCTAGAACTGCATACTCTATGATCAAAGAAAGATTAAAAAGCAAGGGAGTAGCTGATATTACTGCTAAGGAGTTAGAAGGATACTTCTCGCCATGGCATGCTAAACATATAGGCCAAATAAAGGTAACACGTAACATAAAAGTTACTTTTTGCGTAAATGTAATTTCGGTAACGCTGATAGATTAAAATGGCAATGACAGTTGACAGTTTCCCGCCTTTATGTACTTTTTAAATACCTATCATGTTAATCTGTCATTACTCATTACCATTACCTTTCAATTGCCATAGTCATACATTACATCTATTTGTTTGTAACATATAACTTGTTTGTAACATCCTAACACACCATTTCCCATTTTTCACTTTTCTGCATTTGAACGTTTTATATTTCATCAATTATCGAAAAAAAAATGCTGCATATTTTTAATCTAAAATTATTATATACTTTTTTACTTACAGTCAAGACAATAGCAAATAAAAATTAAAATAAAAAAAATTTACTCTTTCTCAGGTCGCTAGCGGAAACAAAACAGTGGAAAGCTGGGCTATGAAACGCCTTCGAGTCCACTACTATATTTTCTCCTATCCCAGCCTCTTAAAACTACACGGAGAACCATCACTGTTGAGGAATTTAGACACGCTTTTAGGAAATGAAGCGTTATTACAGTTAGAGTTAAAGACATTATCACCGGTGTTTAAAGACCCGCAAAAGAAAAAGTGGTTTGAGGAAGTGATAGACAATTATTTAAAATTATGGGAGAGCAATATGTGATCAAAGTGTATTGGATGCTTTTTATAAAAGTAAATTGCTTAAATATTTCAAAAACATAAAGAAAAATAGAGCGATGTTTTAATGTTTTTATTATTGGACGGTTTTTAGAAAGTTTTAATAGAAATATTCGAGTAGTCCATTGATGTTATAAGTGATAGTGATGTTTAGAAAAAATATTTCAGTTAAGTTTAACACATAACGACTAATAATATAAGGATTTGGTAGTATTAATGATACGTCACTGACATTTAACACTCCCACAAAATTTTGTATAAATAAAGTTTTAAAATAAATACCATAGAAAGCATTTTTGATAATTAGGTATATCATTTTATGGACCATAATTTTTTTCTTTGTTTTAATGACATAATTAGCAACAAGCTCAATTAAATAAATCTGGATTTCCACTTTGTCAATTATTACCAATATTTATTTATTTATTGTATGGAATATTATAGTGAACATATTTAAAATAATTGTAGTGCAAAAATGTGATCGTACATTTAAGGTATACAGTGAAAGTCTACTTATTTACTAGATTAAGATGAAAGTGAGGTATTTTTGTAAATATTTTATTGTGGCCTTTACAAATAGGATAATGAATCATCTTTAATAGGAGATATTTACCGGCTGTTTCTATTGCATAAAGGCAATGTTAGCATTAGGGCCTTTTGGAACAATTAATTGAGTTATAACGTTGCACTGCGAATACTATACTCACCTATAATTTACATATTTCACTAAAACTAATGTTGTCACCGATGCTGATTATTTCAGCGGAAAATCCGCTGATCCTGATAAATAGTAATTATGGTGTTGAATTGCAAGTAAAGCTGACAAATACACAAATTTTAATAAAAGCATTTCTGAGTAATAAAAAATTATATATTATCGCAAAATAATTGATGCATTGTTCAAGCAAAGCTGACAAAATACACTCTTTTCAGCATCGATGCTGATCTTAAAATTTATGACTCTATTTTGATATTGATATGCACCAATATAATTCACAATTCAAAATTCATTTCAATTTGACCATTTTTTTTATTCCAATAACTTTTATAACCTTGTGTAATTTCAAAGTACGATCAAAGTCGGCAAAATGAAAAAGTGCCTTAATAATTATTGATATGAAAACATTAGACAATAAGATATAATTATTTTATATACTTTAAAATGAGCTATTTTAATGATATGTGCAATAATAAAGGTTCGGTTAGATTCGCATACAAATCAATGCGTGATCAAAATTGAGAATGCATTTATATTTTAGTATTAATTGTAATAAAATGTAGACAGATGGTGTACATATTTGAGGGAACATGTTTAGATGAAATAAAATTGTTTTATGATTGAAAGTAAAGTGTTTCATTTTTAGCGATATTTCAATCTCAAGATATGTCTAAAGAAGCAATGTTTATAAATCTATCTTTAATTACATACCTCGTTTCCATTATTTAAACGGACTTCCAACCATTAGTCTCCCTCATAGCCACCATCACCTAAGTCAACATAGTGCACCTGGTGCACTATGTTGAAACAGGAGGTTTGTATTCGGAGATAAGTTTGGTATATCTACATTGGATAATATCTCGTATTGTAACCCAAAAAAATTCGCTGATGATAATGCCATCTATCGGTATGTAACTAATTTATTAGCAATTTAGAAAAAAAACTTAGAGAACAATACATATGAACAACATCTATATTTAAAATGATATTAATGGTTGATGTAATTATGGCTAGTAACTAAATTATAATTTTTATTTCGCTGAACCCAACGGTAAGTATAAAAACTGGATTTTTATTAAACTACGTGCAGAATAACTAGACTTTAAGTAAAGTCTAGTATAAGTATACTGAGGTACATTATAATGAGATAGTGCCTTATTTTAGAGGGTAAAACAAAATATGAATTTGCTCCAAAAGTTTAGTGTGTAGTGCGTTTATCACTAAGCACATTTCTGAGCGCGAAATATTTTTTCATCTAATAATTACTTAAGGCTGTGGGGTGGCACCACCACACGGCAGAAGATAGTCCAATAATTCTTACAAATAATAATTTTCCCATCATTCTTAAGTTATTAGCAAAACAAATGTTCGCCAAGTGGAATAATAATTATCGTAAAAAGAAAAAACGAGGCCATCGCCTAAATCACAGACTTATCGCAAAAGTAAATTCTTCTGATAGTGTGTCATTCAACCTGCTAAAAATATGAATACTTCATGTCGTAAGCAGATGTTCTCTTGTCATTGTTTACATGTTATGAAGTTTTTGTCGAGATCTAAAAGCGTAATAAAAATTAACCAGTATATTGCATAAGTTTCAGTCTTTAGTTGACTGAATTGCCTATCGTACTTAATGTCTTTAAATTTATTCTTGATCGGCCCGTAAAGTCTTCGGCTGACCATGATATATCTCTCCCGTTGCAGGAAGAATTCGTTAATCGTCACACTTGGCAGATGGAGTGATGATCGCAGTTTTATTTTGATTTGATTTGATTTATCTTTTAAAACGTCACCCCCACACTAGGATTTTCTCCTGTGTCGTGGAGGCAGTTTACAAACATAAATTGCACAAGGACAAACATCCAGACCCGGAACAATTATTTGTAGGCCATACAAATACTTGTTCCGTGCGGGATTCGAACCCGCAGCCCCCAGCGCAACAACTGATTGCTAAGCCACTGCGCCACGGAGCCGTCAACCTTTGAAGCTGCTGCCCATAGCCGGTCTTGTTACTTTACGCCTGGTTTACGTTATTCTGCCATATATGTATCGGAAGTCATTAATTTTTTTTTCACTATCCTTACTCGCCTCACCCAGGGGACAAGTTATAAATATAATGGTAATTGCCATTACATTGAATATAATCATCATCATCATTACAGCCCATCACAAATCCACTGCTGAACATAGGCTTTTGATGCAGAAAGGTATTATTTTATATAAAGGTCAGCAGATTGTCACAGAGCCAGTATGATACAAGACGCAGGGCCTCCTCCATTAGGCATCATGCACTCTCCCAGGTTTTGTCGTGTGCCAAAAGAACAGTGTCATCTGCATACGTGATGATGCGACAATTCGGAACAGTCAAGTGACAGAGGCTGTTAATGTATACCAGAAACATTGTCGGTCCAAGCACACTGCCCTGAGGGACTCCATAGGGAAAATATTTATCATCACTAAGAAAAGAATCTATTTTGACACGTTGTCTGCGTTCTGAGAGATAGTCTCGAAAGATATCCAAAGCCAAACCTCTGATGCCAATTTCATCCAGCTTTTGAAGTAGCATGGGGATAGAAACAGTGTCAAAGGCCCTCGAGAGGTCAAGGAAGGTTCCTATTATTTGAATTTATTGTCTATGTTTTTAGCTACTAAAGTGACCATAACAGCGTCTTCTGTGGATAAGCCACTTCTAATTCCGTAATGATTTTCTGACATGATATTGTATTTGTTCAAGTAATTAATAAGCCTTGTGTTAAGAATTCGTTCCATTATTTTCGAATGGGAAGTGAGTACTGATATAGGCCTATAATTATTGATACTGCCTCTGTTCCCACTCTTAAAGATTGGATGTACCAAAGCCTTCTTGAAGGCTATTGGAAAGACACCTACCCCAAGAGAACGGTTGCAGATTATAGGAGGAACAAGAGTATTTTGGGCAGCCTTAATAACTGCAGAAGAGATTCCGTCATAGCCAGTAGCACTAAGATTTATTATTATTTATTATGTTCTCAACTTCTGATTCATCTGTCTCTAATAAAACCATGGAGTTGCCAAGAGGATTATGAGATGATTTTATTGAGGTTTTAGGTGAAAATGGTAGGTGTTGATTTTTAAGAATTTTGGAGGCTAGATTTGATCCAATATTAACAAAGAAGTCATTGATCTGATTTATTGAGACATTAGAGTCCTTTTTTAGATCCAATAGGTCCGTAGGTGATGAAGAGGTGGTGAGATGAGTTATGCTCTTGATGACATTGCAAGTCGCTTTGGGGTTATTTTTAGCTTTATGAAATTTGTTGCGTTTGTAGATATTTTAACTGTTTTAATAGTTTATTGCAGTAGTTGCGATAACGTAGATATGTGACTTTGGCTACTACAATGTTTGGGTCCTTTTTCATTTTGCTATGCAAGCTGTCACGGCTTTGTATGTACCTTAAGAGTTCCTTGTAACCCAAGACTTTAGTATACGTTTTCTGCATGCGACTTTGACAGACTTGGTGTTTTGCTTAATGTATGTATAAATCTTTGAGATTAATAGATCAGCAGCAAGATTAGCACCTTTGGTATCAAAGATGGTTGAAAAATCAGTATTGGCCAATTCATTTGTAACATTTTGTGTTTTAACATGTACCCGAGTTTTTTGGTATGGTGTTTGTTGACGTTGACCTATGAATGTAAGAATAGGATTATGATCGGTGATAATCTATACAAAATATATAAAATTGAAATCTGACACGATGGTTGTTGTCTTAAGGTTGGTTTTTATTATTACGTGATCAAGGCAAGCATCATCACGGGTGATGAACGAATGTGCGGGTAACAGCCCGTGTGACACCAGAAGATTCAAATAAGGGTCGGGTTTGGGCTCACGTTTATCAGAGAGAATGTTGATATTAATATTTCCAATGATAATTACCGTTTTGTATGACGCTATAGATAAGTACTAGTAAATTATTTAGTGAGTTGAGAAAATTATCGATAATTTTAACAGAAAGAGATCTGTATACATCTAAAATAGCTAAACCATTTTTAAAACAGATTTTCAGGCAGCTAGCGTCTGTTAGATTTACAACGGATAGACTTTGCATTTCATTTCTTCTCTAATAAACTAAGTAAAATATAATGGTACAACTTTAAAATTCACAATAGCCGGAGTCAAGATATTGGCGGTGGTTCATCCGCATGCTTCGAAAAGCACGTAAGCCGTTGGTCCTGCGTCTAATTTGTTCGGTTGTGTCGGATTACCGTCCCATCGGTCTATGAGAGTGAGG